GGTACTTGTACCACTGGTTGAGGAACACTGACCTAGGTCCCCTTTAGTGGCTAACTCTTGTCTAGATCACGAAATAAAGTAGATTATCTTGGAGAATTAGACAGACAGAACAACTTGAGAATAAAGAGGCTCAAGAGGCAGAACCAGATAGCACTGATTGTATTCCCACATGATACTCTTGTTACTTCTATTAGCTGCAATCCTCACCAGATGATGCAATGACTTCAGCTCCTATACCACCTTCTCATAGCTTTAAATCCTCCCCCTCAAGGGGGTTGGGAAGACTGATCCACACTTCAGACATTAAATTGTAAGTCCAAGTAACTAACACCATCAAAAGCTACTCCCTCAAATAAAAGCATACGACTACACTGCAATTATTCATCCATAGCTGGCCCATGTCAATTTATTAGGGCTCATGGGACTTGGGCTAGTAACTGTTAAATTGCTGTATAAGCATGATTGCATTTCTAGCCAAAAAAGTTCTGGGATTTCACATGGTAGCATTTCAATTTATCATCAATATTACAGATGAAATAAAAACTCTGATTTTTTGGAAAATCTCCCTTTCTAGTCTCATTACTTCTTCCTGGGTTTGATGAAGTGCAGTTGTTGTTCCTGGCATTTGTGCCTTTAAGTTCAGCCTTGCACACGTTACTTTGAGCTTTAGTAGGTCTTGTACATAAAGTGCAAAGGATTTTCTGCAGTCTCTATACAGGGGGGCTCTGTCTACACTGGGCCACTTATTCCGGAAAAGCAGCCTGCCAATGTAGATGTTCCTTTTCCGGAAAAACTGAAAATGGAATAGTATTCCGGTTTAAGCAGTTCCGGAAATTCATGCCAGTGTAGACACAGCCCCAGAGTGTATGTATTAGAGAAAGTAAGTGGGTTCTAAGATGATTTTACTTATCTCTACTAAAAATAGTATACAAAGTATCAAACTAGTGTTTCTGATATCTGTGTTTATTCCAGACCTGACCTGACACCTCGGGGCTGTGTCTACACTGGGCCACTTATTCCGGAAAAGCAGCCTGCCAATGTAGACGCTCCTTTTCCGGAAAAACTGAAAACGGAATAGTATTCCGTTTTAAGCATTTCCGGAAATTCATGCCAGTGTAGACACAGCCCTCAAGGCTTGGGATTATCTCGCTGTATTACCGCCTCGTTGTAGGAAATTTACATATAATCTTAAAATACGGCTTAAGGGGAGGTGGAGTAATTTTTTGAGTGGACTAGGGGAATAAGCTATTAGACAAAGAAGTGCTTCCCTAATGATTTTCTCTCAGTCACAATCACACACAGAAGACAACATGCTGTGAAAGGAAGGTACTTCCCTCAGTGAAATATAATCAGTTTATTATTACAATACATACAAGGGTATATCCACACATGAAAATTATAGTATTAAATACATAGGAGAAAAATACATGAAGAAAGCAAATTCCTATTTTATTGGATTGAGAGAAAATTTTAATAACTGTTTTTGTATCCCAAAAGGACATGGGAACTAATGGGAATATAAAGTGAAGGGAATTCAAGTTATTCATAGTGGCTGCGTCTAGACTGGCAAGTTTGTCCGCAAAAGCAGCTGCTTTTGCAGAAAAACTTGCCCGCTGTCTACACTGGCCACTTGAATTTCCGCAAGAACACTGACGATCTCATGTAAGATTGTCAGTGTTCTTGCGGAAATGCTATGCTGCTCCCGTTTGGGCAAAAGCCCTCTTGCGCAAATGCTTTTGCGCAAGAGGGCCAGTGTAGACAATGAGGTATTGTTTTGTGCAAAAAAGTCCCGATCGCGAAAATGGCGATTGGGGCTTTCTTGCGCAAAATCGCGTCTAGATTGGCACGGACTCTTTTTTGCAAAAAGTGCTTTTGCAGAAAAGCGTCTGTGCCAATCTAGATGCTCTTTTCTGCAAATGCTTTTAAAAGAAAAACTTTTCCGTTAAAAGCATTTGCGGAAAATTATGCCAGTCTAGACGTAGCCAGTAAATTTAATCTTCCTGGGTTTTAGAGAATGGCCTATTCTTAGTTACCTGATCCTCTCCAAAATTTTGATTCACTGAACACAAATTGAGGCCAATACAGATGGACAAATCAGCCTGGATATATCTAACACCACAAGCCAGCAGCAGCAGAATAAAGCAGCTTTCTGTGCTTATCAGTGATAACTGAATATGAAAATTAGAATGTACAAATAAACTATGCCTATAGCATTGTATGGAAACAATGCTGCATCCCCTGCTTTCCTTGGGGTGTCTGCACAGGCTTGACAAGTTAAATGGATCAGAATGCCAGACCACTCTGTCCTGCTCAGAGAAAGTGGTTCTGTGCCCCGTACAGTGAGTGCAGGCAGTACTTCTCTAGCATCTGGGGTCCTGCCAAATCCCTAAGAATGGAATTGTTAGTTCCCTTCAAGGTCTGTGGATGGATGGCTATAATCATCTTAGTCAATGATGGTGTGTATTCAATGCTGGAGCCTGTTGGCAGGTATTTGATATTGGAAGATTCTGGAGTGCAGATTTACATATGGTCCCATAGGATTGGGAGTAACTGCCCATTGAAGCTTTGGGATCTCCAGCAGCTCCCATATTTGCTGTGACCTGGAACATCTTTTTACTGGACTTCAGAAGAGGGTGAGCATCCCTGTTGTGAAACTGTGGATTTCTTGGATTCTGTGTGAGAAAGAAAATCCAAGACAGCTCAGGCACCTTACATTAACTCCTTATACAGAAACAAAAGGTGTGCAAATGGAATGGACTGGGGTGTGGCACAGATTCTGGCTATAAAGAGAAGTAGGGCAAATCCCAGGCTGCGAAGGAGAAGGGACATAGGACAAGAATGTCCAAAAGGTGAAGAAGAGAAGGTTGTAAAGGAGGAGGGATACAGGCTGAGTCCACAACAAGGAGAAGACAGTGGGGATCAGACAAGATATGAAGAGACACAGGCTATGCTCTCACCATGGCTGTGTCTACACTGGCATGAATTTCCGGAAATGCTTAAAACGGAATACTATTCCATTTTCAGTTTTTCTGGAAAAGGAGCGTCTACATTGGCAGGCTGCTTTTCCGGAAAAGCCCTTTTTCCGGAAAAGCGTCTGTGGCCAATGTAGACGCGCTTTTCTGGAAAAGAGCCCCGATCGCCATTTTTGCGATTGGGGCTTTTTTCCGAAAAAGACTACTGGGCTGTCTACACTGGCCCTTTTCCGGAACAGTGTTCCGGAATAAGGACTTATGCCCGAGCGGGAGCAGAATAGTTTTTCCGGAATAGTGGCTGATTTTGTACAGTAGAGCATCGTTGCTTTTCCGGAAATTCAAGGGCCAGTGTAGACAGCTCTCAGCTTATTCCGGAAAAGCGGCTGATTTTCCGGAATAAGTGGCCCAGTATAGACACAGCCCATATAAATGACAATTTGACCTGAGCCTGAGTTTAAAGGGAAAGATATACAGCTGTGGGTAGATTGTGCAGCTCCAATCAGCCACGTGAAATAGTGAAAGACAAATACCCATACTCACTAGTCTGGTACCGGCTGTAGTCACCTCAGCCATCATGGGAGAGTCCTTCCTGGTCAGGTGGTTATGGATAGCAGCTTCCTGTGCCTGGCTGGACAGTGAAAATGATCTCAGGTTTGATACAGATTGACCTTGAAAGTCACGACCTTTTGACACTTGCTGAGCCTGGAGGAGAAAGATAGAATCATAGAGCTGGCAGAGACCTCAGGAGGTCATCAAGTTCAGCCCCCTGACCAAAGCAGGACCAATCCCAACTAAATCAACCCAGCCAGGGCTTTGTCAAGCCGAGATTTAAAAACCTCTAGGGATGGAGATTCCACCACCTCCCTAGGTAACTCATTCCAGTGCTTCACCACCCTACTTCAAGGAATAAGATCCTCCGGAAAAGGGCGCTTTTTCCGGAGGATCGGGGCCAGTGTAGACGCTCTTTTCCGGCTTTTCTAAAAGCCGGAAAAAAGCGGCGGACATTTTTATTTGAATGCCGCGGGGGATATTTAAATCCCCCGCGGATTTCCCTATTACGACTCGTGAAATTAACATGCCCCTTCCGGAAAAGGGGCCAGTGTAGACGTAGCCACAAGGTATAATTTTTTAGAAACTATGTTGCTTCTGTTCAAGTTCTCTCCTAGCTTTGATGGGGAATGGACATATACATGCTCCAAACACACATCCTGTTAAGTAGCACTTGGTAACTAATACACCAGTAGCAACATCACATTTGCCTAGCTTGTGGTAGATCATTTTAGTCACCAGCTGGACTCTACATGCACGAAAGGACTCAAAATCATAAAGCTTTTTCCTAAAAGTGTGAAACAATGATCATTCTGCTCAAGAGGAATACATTCATGGACACTAGAAGAACTGCTGTTACGTCACATATAATTCTTGTGAAGTCACTATGGGTATGTCTACACTAGCTCGTTAATTCGATCTAGGTAAGCAAATCAGGGAACCAGGGTTGCAAATGACGTCCGGGATTTAAATATCCTAGGCTTTATTTGCATGTTCCCGTCCAGCTGCCATTTTTAAATCCTCCTTAGTCCGAACGAACTGCCCGCGGCTACACGCGGCAGTTTAAAGTTAATCCAAACTAAATCCTTAGTTCACATTAACTGTTACTCCTCATTCCACATACCATGGCCGGGGTACGCCAGGGCCACTCGGGGCAGCTCCTCAGCAGGGGCAGACACCTGCCCCTACTTTGAGGCACTGAACCGCATCCTGGGGGGCAGGACGGTTTGTGCCACCCTGGAGGGCAGCGAGTTGGGACCAGGGGGCCATGACCAGGGCGCAGAAGAGGAGCCGCCACGGAGGGTGCCACTTTGGCCGGACCCCTGAGCTGTCCCAGCAGCGGAGTCACCAGGGTCATCTGGGGAGGCCACACCATGTAAGTGCCATCACTGTCCCCTTCCCGGGGGGAGTGGGGAGGGAGACCAGGGACTGCACGTGTGAGCCTTGCTTACCACAGATCATGCAGCACACCTGTGCATGAGAGAGCACGTGCCGTGCCACCCCTGGGCAGGTGGCTCCACCTGCGTGCCACACGGGCTGTGGCCTGATAGCCACGCATGTGTGAAGAGACCTGACATGCTTCTGACCCTAGGGCGGAACACAGCAGGACACCCTTCCTTCACAAGCCCTCTCTAACATCTCCCTCCCACCTCACCCACACTATACACAGCACAGGGGCATGGGTGCAGTCTCGGGGCAGCTCCCACTCCCAGGGATAGCTGGACATTCCGACCATGGCCTCTGTGTAAGCACAGTGGCTCTGACGGTGCAGGGCATGGTCATCCTCACCTTACAGAGGGGGGCTGGGCTTCACCCACTGTGTCCCCAGGGAGAACTGACCACTTCTCTTCTTTCTCCACAGCCGCATCAGCTGCATGTGCAGGGTGCACCACCCCACCCGGGACATGCTCCTGCACCCGAGGGCTCCACAGGACGACTGCAACACGGCAGGGATACTGAGAGCAGCAGCTGGGGGACCTGCGAGCCCTGACCCGCATCATGGAGCAGCAGGCATAGGAAGAACAGGAGTTCTGGAGGAAGCTGCTTTCCCAGGGTCGTGCCATTTGTACCATCTGCAGACTTTGGTGCAGAGCATGCTGCCTTGTGCTGCTCCAGTGCCTGCTGCCCCCCCCCAGCTACCGTTCCTCCTCCCACTTCTTCTCCCCCTCCTGCCTCTCCCTCCTCAACCTCTTCACCTATTCACAGACACAGGAGCAGTGTTATATGATTACATCATCCTTCTGGGAAATGTTAAACAGAATGAGAAGGTTAACTCTTGCAGTGGAACCCAGAGCAGAGTGTTCAATAAGCCCAGTTTCTATTTTTCAAAAAAAAAGTCTTTTATTTAACATCAGGAAGTGGGGCTAGGGAAGGGTAAGTGAAAGGACATGAGGTAGGAATGGGGCAGGAGCCCCCGATGGGGAGGACTGGGGAGGCTTTGAGGGCTTCTCGGGGTGAACGCTCTCCCTCAGGGCCTCCTGGATCCTGACAGCCCCCCGATGGACTCTCCAGATGGCAGCCTACAGCAACGACCCCATGAGATGCACCGGCGTGCCCAGAAGCATCTCTGGCCCCCCCCCCCTTCCCCCCCCCCCCCTGCCTCTCCCTCCTCAACCTCTTCACCTTCCTCAATCTCCACACCCCCCACCTTAACCTCCACACTCTCCTCCCTATCCCTCCGGGGATGCTGAGGCCCCCGCATCCGCCGTTCTGGGAGACATGTGGCCCAATAACCTGATGCCCTGCCGGCATTGGTTCCAGCCAGCCTTAACTTCAGTTCAGGGTCCACTCAGTGTGGATGCACTATTTCAAAAGAGCAAAATGCTATTTCGAAATAGTTTTTGTGTATAGATGTGTTATTTCGAATTAACTTAATTCGAATTAACCTATTTTGAATTTAGGTAACCCGAATTAACGCTGTAGTGTAGACATACCCTCACTGACGTGCTGTGGATGAACCTGCCCTCCCATTGTCCTCACGTGGGGAGTCCCTGGCACTCTCCTATGAGACACAAATGCCCTGGGGCTTGGGCTCCCCACGGAGTGCGCGCCCCACCCCCAGGAAGCTGCACAAGGTGCATTTACATTTTGTTCAATAAGCCCAGTTTCTATTTTTCAAAAAAAAAATTATTTTATTTGACATCAGGAAGGGGGGCTAGGAAGGGGTAAGTGGAAGGACGTGAGGGAGGACCGGGGTGGCTCTGAGGGCTCCTTGGGGTGGATGCTCTCCCATAGAGCTGTCCTGGATCCTGTCAGCCCCACAATGGACTCCCCTGGATGGCAGCCTGCAGCAAGTGCAGCCGGGCTGATGGCAACGACCCTACGAGAAACACCGATGTGCCCAGGGGCAGCTCTGCACCCTCCCCAGACAAAAAAAGGGGGGTGGAATTTTTTGGGTTGGGGCAGCAAAAAACCGAACTCCAAGACAGGACTGCTTTGCTGTCCCTAATCGAGGTAGACAAGCAAGCGGGGAACCCTGAAAACTGTCTGTCCAGGGTGGGGGTAGGGTCCCTTTAAGCATGGAGCTCAGTTAACCTCAGGCAGCAGCCCCACACACTAAGTCCTAACCTGATGCCCTGCCGGCATTGGTTCCAGCCAGCCTTAACTTCAGTTCAGGGTCCACTCAGTGTGGATGCACTATTTCAAAAGAGCAAAATGCTATTTCGAAATAGTTTTTGTGTATAGATGTGTTATTTCGAATTAACTTAATTCGAATTAACCTATTTTGAATTTAGGAATTTGAAATAGCACTGTAGTGTAGACATACCCTATGAAAAATTTCCTGCTATGGTAGTTAAGCATTGGAATACATTTCCTAGGGAGGCTGTGGAATCTCCATCATGGAGATATTTAAGAGCAAGTTAGAAAAACATCAGGAATGATCTAGGGGGTTTTTGGTCCTGCTGTGAGGGTAGGGGACTGGACTTGATCTTTTTTTGGGTTGGGGCAGCAAAAAACCGAAAGCCTGCCCTGGATGCAGGGAAAGGGGGAGGGGCAGGCAGGGGTGCTGTCATGGGGAGGGCCATTCTCAACCCATTTCCTGGGTCTATTTTGACTGCCAGTCCACCCCTGTCGCGGTGTATCCCCCCGTGGGTGCTCCAGTTGGTGATGGGTGATCCTTGGAGCCGCAGTTCAGAGCTTTTTGTAGCAGTTGACAGTTGGGCTGCACATGTGCAGGAGGTGCCTTGCGCCGCTGACAGCTGACACCTCATGCCACAGCCCGACACCCCCCCTTCAGCTCCTCATATATCCCCAAGTTAGGGTATGTCTACACTTGCACCCTCTTTCAAGAGAGGGATGCAAATGAAGACCTTCGAAACTGCAAATGAAGCCAGGATTAAAATATCCTGCACTTCATTTGCATATTCACGTTATGGCGCTATTTCAAAACAGCGCTATTTTGAAATAACAGACGCTGTTAAGACATGGTTAATTCGAGAGAAAAACCTTCTCTCGAAATAACCCTTACGCCTCATACAATGAGTTTACCAGTTATTTCAAGAGAAGGGTTTTCTCTCAAAATATCTGTGTCTTAACTGCATCTGTTATGTTGAAATAGCGCTATTTCGAAATAGCGCCATAACACAAATATGCAAATGAAGCACAGGATATTTAAATCCCAGCTTCATTTGCGATTTCAAATGTCTTCATTTGCATCCCTCTCTTGAAAGAGGGTGCAAGTGTAGACATACCCTTACTGAAAACTCCGAGTAGAAGGGAGGAAGGGAAGGCCATGGAGCACCCCCCCCGGGCGGGGGGGGGGGGGGAGAGGGGGAGGAGAGACACACCTCGAAGAACAGTCGTTAATGCATAAGGTGAGTAACTTCCTTTTTTTCTTCGGGTGCTGTCCCTGTGGGTGCTCCACTGTTGGTGACTACAAAGCAGTATTCCGTGAGGACAGTGGGTCTCGGAGTTATTGGTGAGCAGCGGAAGATAGTGCCGCTGTAGCCACTGCTGTATCAGTTGCTATTTGAGGCATGATAGCATAATGTCTAGCAAAGGAGTGGTCAGATGACCATGAGGCCACCCGGTATATGTCCTTGAGGGGGACACCGCTCAGGAAAGTGGTAGACGTTGCAGCAACATGTGTGGAGTGCGCTCTAGGTGGAACTGGCAAGTGTCTATTCCGAAGAGAGTAACAATGTGGTATACAATCTACTATCAGCTTGGAAATGCGCTGCGTTGAAATTGGAGTGACTGCTGGCACCAAGACATAAATAGTTTCCATTTGTGCAGCTAGGTCCTTCGAGTGGATGGCCTCCTACTATGAAGGAGGACAGTTGTCACTAGCTCTGAATATTGAGATTTGGTGCCCAGGAAACACAAGGAAGCCAGGCGTGAAGGTGCAAAGTGTGAGGTTAGGGATGAAGTAGTTTGCCCATTTTGAGACAGAAGACTGTGTCAAATTGGTAGTGGGAGAGATGGCTCGACTGACATGCGCTGAAGGTATGGGAACCAAGTCTGTCTGGACCATGATGGAGCTATTAAGATGGCTCGAGCTGTGTCCGATTGAATTTTCCGCAGGATCCTGGGAATTAGTGGGACAGGGGAAAATGCATAGTGCAGAAGTTTGTTCCAGATGATTAGGAAAGCATTGCCCATGGATTCCTCGCCAAGCCCTGCTTGAGAGCAAAATCGGCGACACTTGGAATTGTCCCTGGTTGCAAAAAGGTCTATTGCTGCAGAAGATAGTTCCCATTTGTGGTAAAACTGCGACTCAAAGTGTCTGCAGTGATGTTGTTGACTCCAGGTAGGTAAGATGCCTTGAGGACATACCCACACCAGATGCACCAGTTCCAGAGGTGGATAGCTTCCACACAGAGGGATTGAGAATGAGCACCGCCCTGCCTGTTTATGTAGAACATAGTAGTTGTGTTGTCCGTTAGGATCAGTACAGTGTGGTTCATAATGGCGGGAGCAAAGTATCTGCACATGTTTTTGACTGCTCAAAGCTTGAGGAGATTGATGTGTAACATAGCTTCATGTGATGACCATCTTCCCTGAACTTTGTGCTCCCCATCTTATTAGTGAGGCATCTGTGGTAATTTATACTGATGGTTCAGGCTGTAGGAAGGGAACTCCGGTGAAGAGGTTGTGGTGTGAAGTTCACCATTTGAGGTAGCCTAGCACATGTGCTAGAATGATATCTCGCTTCCCAATAGGATGTCGGAAAGGTTAGTAGATGGAAGTCAGCCAGTGGTGCATCGCGCGGAAATGGAGACGCGCATACTGGACAACATATGTAGTAGCTGCCATGTGGCCCAGCAATTGAAGGCATGTATGTACAGTTGATAGCAGGCCCTCCTTTCACACCAAAAGGAAATTGGTGCTATTCCTCGTGGAATGAGATTTACCAATTTCAAAATAAGCCCTCTGCTATTTCGATTTAATTTTGAAATAGCGGTTTGGCTGTGTAGACGCTGGTAAAGTTATTTCAAAATAACGGCTATTATTTCGAAATAACTTTGCTGTGTAGACATACCCTAAGATACTGATTGGATTTTGCTTCCTGGTTCTGCCTTCTCCCTTCTTTTTTTTCTGCTATTATAGCCTATGCTCCCTCCCATTTGCGACCCAACTCCCAGGTCTCCATGTTTTTTACTTACCTGTGGGCTTTGGTCACCTGCCCCTGTCGAACCTAGTTTAAAGCCTTCCTCACTAGGTTAGGAAGTCTGCATCCAAAGGTGAATTCCATCCCTGCTTAGCAGTCCTTCTTGGAATAGCATCCTGTGATCGAGGAAGCCAAAGCTCTCCTGACAACACCATCTTTGCCACCAGGCATTCACCTCCAGGATGCACCTGTCTCTGCCTGAGCCCCTACCTTTGACACGAAGGATTGAAGAAAAAATCACATGTGCTCCAAACTCCTTCACCCGTACCCCCAGAGCCCTGTAGTCACTTTTGATCTGCTCGAGATGCCTTGCAGTATCATTAGTGTCTACATGGATGAGTAGCATGGGATAGTAGTCAGAGGGCTGGATAATCCTCGATAATGCCTCTGTAATGTCTTGGAAATGGGCCTCTGGCAGGCAGCATACCTCCTGAGATTACATGTCAGGGCGACAGATGGGTACCTCCGTTCCCTCAGAAGAAAGTCTCCAACCACCACTACCCTACATTTCCTCTTTAGGAGGGAGGGATAGCTCAGTGGTTTGAGCATTGGCCTGCTAAACCCAGGGTTGTGAGTTCAATCCTTGCGGAGGCCATTTAAGGATTTGGGGCAAAAATTTGTCAGCAGATGGTACTTGGTCCTGCTATGAAGGCAGGGGACTGGACTCAATGACCTTTCAAGATCCCTTCCAGTTCTAGGAGATAGGCAATCTCCATTAATTAAAAAAAAAAAAATAGTGGCAGCAGATTTCCCTGCCTTGGGGGTACGAGGCTTCTCTGCTTCTGCTGTAGAGGGTAATTCCTTATCTCCCATATCCAGAACAGCATAACGGCTCTCCAGTGCCACAATAGGAGGGTTAGGAGCAGGGGATGAGCAAAGGAAACAATAGTCTTCTGTGTGGGCACAATGGGTTATGTCCATATATCCAATGGAATTGCAGTACTTACCTCAGTCACAAGAAACCCACTGACTGCTTTCAGCTCTTCTAACTGAACAAATCACAGATTCAGACCAATCTGACTTACCCTTGTCAGTGACATCAGGCAGAAGGCAAGTGAAAACTCATTTCCTGTCACAACAACTTAGATCCCTGCAAACAGTAAGACTGGTCCTGTGTGACTGATACTTACATTACAGGGATTCTGTACATTTGTTGCAGGTGGTTGAGCACTCATATTCACCCATGTGATTTGTCTTCCAATTTTCCTGTTGATGGAGGATGTTCTCTGATGCTGAGGGAGTGGTGCTGAAAGGTTCCTAGCCATTACTACAGAACCCAGATTATCTGTTGGAAGAAAGAACACATGAGACAGAGAAGTGCGGGGGAGAGAATTAGTGTGAGAAGAATGAAGGATGAAACACAGATGGTAAAGTTAGAGCCAGGTCAGAGAGGATGAAAGGGACAACAACAACAAAATAGAACCTCATAAACAGGAAAAAAACAGGAAAAAATAGTAAGAGGGAGACGGTAAGGTGCGTCTCATACCGTTGGAAGAAAGAACACATGAGACAGAGAAGTGCGGGGGAGAGAATTAGTGTGAGAAGAATGAAGGATGAAACACAGATGGTAAAGTTAGAGCCAGGTCAGAGAGGATGAAAGGGACAACAACAACAAAATAGAACCTCATAAACAGGAAAAAAACAGGAAAAAATAGTAAGAGGGAGACGGTAAGGTGCGTCTCATACCCCCTTTTCAAAGGTGAAAGAGGCAGTGGGCTGAGAAGAGAAAGGAACAGAGAGAGCCAGAATAGTAAAGAAGCAAACAATTAGAGACAAAGTGGGTGTTGAATAAAGAGAGAGAAAAACAAAGGAATCAAAAAAGGGATTGATCAACAAATGAAAGGATTACTCACTCTGTGCAAAAACTTAAAAAACAATGAATAGTCTAGTCACACCTTAAAGACTAACAAAACATGTGGATGGTATCATGAGCTTTCGTGGGTACAACCCACTTCTTCAGATGAATGGAGTATTAAAAATCCAGTTCCAAGATAAATAGCAGTGGGGGAGAGGGAAGAAGGAAAGAGGGAAATAGTGAATTAGAATAACTCTGTGCAGTAACTGAAGTTCTTCAAGATGGATATTCCTTTGGGTGTTGTACTTTAGGTGAGTCTGCACCTCTGCGCTTGTAATTGGAGATTTTTAGTAGCAGTGCCTAATTGTGTTGTACACATATTGTCTTCATCTTGTGCCATTTCTGGTTGTTACATAGCACTGTGCAACCAAAGTCCCCTCGGTTCCTTCTTTACTGCAGCCTCTAGCTTGAAAACTCTTGTGTAGAGAGAAGCAAGAAGGGTAGTGGAGCATTCACAGGGATAACTATCTCAAAGAACCTCAGTTACTGCACATGGTGAGTAGACTCTTCTTTGAGTAGACTCTTCTTTCCTATTCAAAGTAGGAATAAGAGATCCTCCGGAAAAGGGCTTTATTCCGGAGGATCGGGCCAGTCTAGACGCTTTTTTCCGGCTTTTCCCCAAGCCGGAAAAAGTGGCGGACATCTTTATTTAAATCCCACGGGGGATATTTAAATCCCCCGCGGATTTCCCTATTACGAAGTTTAAAATTAGCATGCCCCTTTCGTAAAAGGGGCCAGTGTAGACGTAGCCTGACAGTTAAGAAGTTTTTCTTAATGTTCAACCTAAATCTCCCTTCCTGCAATTTAAACCCATTGCTTTTTGTCCTATCCTCAGAGGCCAAGGAGAACAATTTTTCTCCCTCCTCATGACACCCTTTTAGATACTTGAAAGGGTGAATAATAAAATGGCAAGTCCCTCCAAGCTGCATGGAAGTGTAACTGCTACTGGGCGGATTTGAACCTGGGACCTCTGAAACAGAATATATAGGAGCCTCTACTCTCTGCGCTAAAAGCCAGCTGGCTCCCAACCCATGCTGTAGAGGTCTCTTGGTCTTAACTGTTGCTGTGGTCTAGGTACCACTTGCATTGCTCAGTAACCACACTAGGGCTACGTCTACATAACAGGCTTTTTGCACAAGAAAGGCTGTTCTTGCGCGAAAACTTGCAGAGCATCTACACTGCACCCACACACCTAGGCTATGTCTACACTGGCAGCTTCTCGCGCAAGAACAGCTGTTCTTGTGCAAAAACTTGCCTGCTGTCTATACTGCACGAGCGTTCTTGTGTAAGTAAATTTACAGTATAGCGTTGTAAAACAGGGCTTCTTCTGGAAGAGATATTCCTCTCCCCACAAGGAATAAGCCCTCTTGCACAAGAGCTCTTCCACAAGAAGGCCGTGTAGACAGGAAACATGAATTTCTTGCACAAGAAACCCCTATGGCTAAAATGGCCATCAGAGCTTTCTTGCGCAAGAAAGCATCCACACTGCCATGGACACTCTTGCGCAAAAGCACATGGTAGTATGGACAAGCTCTTGTGGAAGACTTTTTGCACAAGAACTCTTGTGTAAAGCAGTTCTTGTGCAAGAAGCCTGCAATGTAGATGTAGTCTTTGCATATGGGTTACATACTTCCCCTAGGTGAGGGAGCACGTCCCAAGCTTCAGAGACCCAGTTGAGATCCCGGATGAGCCCCCCACTTGTAGACGTCACCAAGTAGATTTGAACGCAGGACCTCTGAAGCGGAGTATAGGAGCCTCTACCCTCTGAGCTAAAAGCCAGGTGGCTCCCAGCCTGTGCTGTAGAGGTCTCTTGGTCTTAACTATTGTTGTGGTCTAGGTACCACTTGCATTGCTCAGTAACCACACTAGGGCTACATCTACACTGGTGGCTTCTTGCGCAAGAACTCTTTTGCAGAAGAGTTCTTGTGCAAAAAGTCTTCCACAAGAGCACATCCACACTGCCATGTGCTTTTGCGCAAAAGCATCCATGGCAGCGTGGACGCTTTCTTGCGCAAGAAAGCTCTGATGGCCATTTTAGCCATAGGGGTTTCTTGTGCAAGAAATTCATGTTTCCTGTCTACACGGCCTTCTTGTGGAAGAGCTCTTGTGCAAGAGGGCTTATTCCTTGTGGGGAGAGGAATATCTCTTCCAGAAGAAGCCCTGTTTTACAACGCTATACTGTAAATTTACTTACACAAGAACGCTCGTGCAGTATAGACAGCAGGCAAGTTTTTGCACAAGAACAGCTGTTCTTGCGCGAGAAGCTGCCAGTGTAGACATAGCCTAGGTGTGTGGGTTACAGCAGCACAGCCCTGCAGCTGCTTAACGAGCTCTGCTCAACCAGGGGCTCAGGACTCATCTATGGAGCTCCCTGGGTGGGGGGAGAGGTACTTCTCCCTCAGTGACAAGTGTACTGTGACAAGTCTCCCTCAGTGACAAGTGAGGGCTTATTCCTTGTGGGGAGAGGAATATCTCTTCCAGAAGAAGCCCTGTTTTACAACGCTATACTGTAAATTTACTTACACAAGAACGCTCGTGCAGTATAGACAGCAGGCAAGTTTTTGCACAAGAACAGCTGTTCTTGCGCGAGAAGCTGCCAGTGTAGACATAGCCTAGGTGTGTGGGTTACAGCAGCACAGCCCTGCAGCTGCTTAACGAGCTCTGCTCAACCAGGGGCTCAGGACTCATCTATGGAGCTCCCTGGGTGGGGGGAGAGGTACTTCTCCCTCAGTGACAAGTGTACTGTGACAAGTCTCCCTCAGTGACAAGTGTACTTCTCCCTCAGTGACAAGTGTACTGAGAGTACAAGCTGTGGTGTGAGTGTGTGTGTGTGCCTGACTGTTTGAATTTTACAGTTTGAAGTGGTGTGAATTGAGTCTGATTCCAGGTGAGTGCTAGCAGTTTCAGTTTCAGCTTCTGTGGCAGTTGGGACTGAGAGCCTGCCATTGTTCCCTTGATTGCCTCTGATTAGCCTCAGGCTCAGCCTTCCCCTGTGTGACTCAGAAGGGGGCAGGCCTGACCTAGGCAAGCAGGCTTTAAAAAGCCAGAGCAGTGCGACCAGGGGAGCGAAGCGGACAGGGGACTGCAGACAGGGGAGTTGAAGAGGGAGAGCAAAGCGCCCCCACCGCCGAAGAGGCTACCCGGTGAGAGTACAAGCTGTGGTGTGAGTGTGTGTGTGTGCCTGACTGTTTGAATTTTACAGTTTGAAGTGTGAATTGAGTCTGATTCCAGGGAGTGCTAGCAGTTTCAGTTTCAGCTTCTGTGGCAGTTGGGACTGAGAGCCTGCCATTGTTCCCTTGATTGCCTCTGATTAGCCTCAGGCTCAGCCTTCCCCTGTGTGACTCAGAAGGGGGCAGGCCTGACCTAGGCAAGCAGGCTTTAAAAAGCCAGAGCAGTGCGACCAGGGGAGCGAAGCGGACAGGGGACTGCAGACAGGGGAGTTGAAGAGGGAGAGCAAAGCGCCCCCACCGCCGAAGAGGCTACCCGGTGAGAGTACAAGCTGTGGTGTGAGTGTGTGTGTGTGCCTGACTGTTTGAATTTTACAGTTTGAAGTGTGAATTGAGTCTGATTCCAGGGAGTGCTAGCAGTTTCAGTTTCAGCTTCTGTGGCAGTTGGGACTGAGAGCCTGCCATTGTTCCCTTGATTGCCTCTGATTAGCCTCAGGCTCAGCCTTCCCCTGTGTGACTCAGAAGGGGGCAGGCCTGACCTAGGCAAGCAGGCTTTAAAAAGCCAGAGCAGTGCGACCAGGGGAGCGAAGCGGACAGGGGACTGCAGACAGGGGAGTTGAAGAGGGAGAGCAAAGCGCCCCCACCGCCGAAGAGGCTACCCGGTGAGAGTACAAGCTGTGGTGTGAGTGTGTGTGTGTGCCTGACTGTTTGAATTTTACAGTTTGAAGTGTGAATTGAGTCTGATTCCAGGGAGTGCTAGCAGTTTCAGTTTCAGCTTCTGTGGCAGTTGGGACTGAGAGCCTGCCATTGTTCCCTTGATTGCCTCTGATTAGCCTCAGGCTCAGCCTTCCCCTGTGTGACTCAGAAGGGGGCAGGCCTGACCTAGGCAAGCAGGCTTTAAAAAGCCAGAGCAGTGCGACCAGGGGAGCGAAGCGGACAGGGGACTGCAGACAGGGGAGTTGAAGAGGGAGAGCAAAGCGCCCCCACCGCCGAAGAGGCTACCCGGTGAGAGTACAAGCTGTGGTGTGAGTGTGTGTGTGTGCCTGACTGTTTGAATTTTACAGTTTGAAGTGTGAATTGAGTCTGATTCCAGGGAGTGCTAGCAGTTTCAGTTTCAGCTTCTGTGGCAGTTGGGACTGAGAGCCTGCCATTGTTCCCTTGATTGCCTCTGATTAGCCTCAGGCTCAGCCTTCCCCTGTGTGACTCAGAAGGGGGCAGGCCTGACCTAGGCAAGCAGGCTTTAAAAAGCCAGAGCAGTGCGAC